TTATTATTGTTTGAATGTATTTTGATGTAAAAGGCGCAGATATTATAAGATTTTTTTCATTCTTTCCGCCGCCTTTCATTTTATTTTTATTTGCATTTTTTTGTAAACTGAACTTGCTTTGTTTTTTTAAATGAAATGAATGAATAAACTAAACCAAACTCAACTGTATCGTACATCAACAAATTCTGTAAAGACGAATAATAATTTGTAGCCTTTTGTAATAATCTAAGTTGAGATGGAGCTAAACTTTTATTTTAAAAAGTATCAACAAGTAGCATTTTTAAAATTCTGTACTTTAACTTAAATTAAATACATCTGCAGGATTTATTCAGTTGTTCTTTGAGGTAAACTGATTTTTCAACAATGAACAAGATTTACCTGCCATTAAAAATTATTCATCTTCATTTTATTGATTTTTTCTTTTTGTCTAAAACATGTTTCCTGTTTGTTGTGACGTTTAAGATTACCACCTTTATGTTTAGTGCCTCACAGACAAGAACAAATGTTTGAAAAAGACAACAGCTTTAATGGATTCATTCAATTGTTGCTGTAATTTTATCAGACAGGAGTTGAACTGTGAATTTAAATAATGTTTCTTTAAACTCACAGCAGTTAGCAAAAGATTTTCTCTGATGAAATATTCATTTTGAATGCACTGATTCTAAAGGTTTTAGTACGTTTTACACAAAATATTAACTATCAGCAAATCAGTGCTGAAAATCTGAACTGCTAATTAAAATGGGTCATGTGGTACCAGAGGCTGGTTGTTCTTAACGAGACAAACGATCCTCACTGCCTCCTCATCCTCAGGTAACTCATCAGGCAGAGGGGGCAGGACAGGCAGGTAGTCGGACTGGGCCACAGAGTCGTGAGTCGACAGGAGGGCCTGCCGAACAGAGAGCAGACTTTCAACAGGTCCTCAGGGACGACTGACTCAAGTTAGACCCTGAATCCCACCTGGACATGAGGCGAGCTCAGCAGACTGCACAGCTCTCTGGCTTCAGCTGAAGGACGGTGAGCTCTGTGTAATACTGTCAGGATCTGAGAAGGCAAGATCAACAAATACCTGTTAGCATGCATTTTACACACATTTTCTTCTGCAAATAAACTTAGCTTTAATGGTTTTAATTGTTAACTCTTGGAAACATTAATTAAAATATCACTCAAACATGTGAGTGTTTAAAATCAAGGTTCTTCAAAAACTTTCTTTAAAGGGTCAATATCATGTAAAATCAACTTTTTTTGAGTTTTATATCATGTTATAATGTTAAACTCTCATAAAAAACATGCCCAAAGCCTTGCTCTGACTCATTCATCATGTTTGAGAAACCCTGCAGTGTTTTTATGAAGCCATGCTGAGGAGCAAAACGACAGGTGGGGACCAGAAACACCTTTTGGTACCAGAAACACCTTTTGGTACCAGAAATACCCCTGGGACGTGTCTTTAAGCCGAACTTCTGAGAAGGGGTTATCTGCGGAATCAAAGTGGGCGTGTCACAAGAGTGGGTGTGTCTAAAGCATAA